TTAATGTATGCGAATTACGAGATTCTGTGGTTTAGTACTCAGTACTGTATTCTAGTTAGCATTGAGCTTTGTGTTTATAAATGCTTCTGTCAACGCATTAGACGCCAGATTAATGGGCTTAAGTCTCAATTCGACTAGGGATAATTTTTTAAAGAAGTGAATTATTATTTGTTGCTTCATAATTTAGTAAGAACAGACCCAAAGATTTAAATAGTTTTAAATTTTAAATCTTTGAAACAGACAACACGAAGTCAGACCAATCCAGTCTCTCAGATCCAACTGCGGCTATGAAGTTTTGAGTGGACATTATTCACAGGCTCACCGTTCAAGAATTTGAAATGAACAATTTATGAAAACAACTTTGTTAACGTTGGCTTTATATTTTTGTAGTGTAAGAGGAGAATTTCAATGATTTAAAAATGATCTCATGGGTTAATTCAGCTATCGACTGTGCCTTGTGGCATTTCTTGGGGAAGACCTATATGTTCTGCTGTGGACTGAAAAAAACGAAAAAAATTACATTGACTTAAAAATATATTCCTTAAATCATTGACACATACTTTTAAATGAATTAATTAACTTTGTAAGAATATATCAACATAATCTCGTAAATCGCGTGTTCAGGATTTCATATTAAAATAGCCTTTCGAAATAATTAGACTTGATTAATAGTCAAAACTGATTTTAAAGAATTTAAAAGAATAAAATAATTCCTGTAGCTTCAGAAGTCAATATAGTATTAAATCACTTAGTTATCCCGGGTGAAAGGTGCAAGATCCTGCCTGTGTCAACCCATCAGAGGGCGTTGTTATACCAACATATTCTGATTTAGAAATAGTGCCCCAAGTCCAGTCCCCAATTTCTGTTACGTCGTCCAGTATTAAATCTAGCCATTTGCGCTGGATAGGATCATAATGAAATAGTAGCGTGTGCTCAAGCACAGATACACTCTCTATTTATTCCCTCACTCATAGTCCGATGGAACGACAATTCAACACAATCAGAGAAAGATCAGACGCAGCATTATCAGCTTTACGTGCTTTACGAGGCACGTGAGTGAAAAACCGCTGACTTTGGACTGTTACTGAGAATTTAATGATATGAAAACCCGAATAATGATAATTAGTAATATTCAGCAGACTACTATCTACTTGATGATCAAGATCCAGGCACTACAAATACAGCGAACGCGGAATTTATTTTAAGATACAGACTATAGTACTATAAGTTACATATGCGATGTAATCCTGCCTACACATCGGGAAGCGACCCGCGCGGAATGCTAATGAGCGTAGAATTATTATCGATCAACGGTGGACAAGGTCGGTTGGGATCGCGGTGCAGAACGACCGTGCAGTCTAAAAATAATAGGGCAACACCCAGTATATTCATATTGTAACGCTTCACCTCTCATAATAATAAATATTATTAAATATTAAATATATTATATATAATAAATTTACCCTTTTTCAATAACATTATATATTTGTGACCAAGATAAATAAGATATGTTTGTTTTGATCTTTCTAAATGATCTTTCACAAGGTTTAATAATAGGCCGTTTGTAATATTTTTGGCATGATCGTCTTAGTTAGGACCCTTATTTACGTTGTGTTTGTTTAGTAACTTAGTTCTTTTAGGTGTCTTTTGGAAGAATGAATATTTACTAGAGTAATTAAAAGCTGTTGGTAGTGCCTTATAAGCTAAGTGAACCCCGTTCACGAGGACAGGGCTCGAGAAAGGTTAAGAATATAAAATGTTCTATTCCACTTGTATCAGGTTTACATTATTAATTTATTATTAATTATCCCTTCCCGCTTTGAAAAGGCTCACAATATATTTATACAAAATACCCGATACAAGGGCTTCGCTCTCCTACATATATTTAAAAAAAAATTAAGGCTTCACACACGCCGTGCGCGGTGAGCGCCAACCATTTTGATGCACTCCCCCCGAAGGGAACGTTAATTCTGTACGTTAGTTCTGATATTAAATGTTTATTGTTCTACAAATCATAAATAATTAGTTTTATTATCGATTGTTTTTTGTGTAGATAGTATGTAAGTGTGACAATGACGTATTCCTCTATGGTCGGCTACGGCTATACATATAGATCGACGAACTATTAACAAAGGTTGTCGAGTGGCCTCGTGACCGGCAAGCGCAGGGCGACATCTTTATATATGGAGCGATCACCTGACGAGGAATCCAGACGAAGGATGTAAACTCTGAGTCTTTGGTTTTTGGCAAACTACGTACTCTATATATATGTCGATAGAGGACCAGTTTTAATGATGATAAATCGGACATTGTATTTTCTGTAATCTTTTTGAATATCGTTGCATTTAGTGGTGCAGAAAGATAAAATAACGTGAGTACCACTCATTGTGATATCAATCTACCTTATTGATAGTGCCCTATCATCAATCTATAGATTCTAATGATGAGTCATACGGATCTTTCACTAGTATTAACAGCCGGCTCTCAAAAATTAAAATGGTTATACTCCAAACTGTATTATATATAAATTAATGTAAACTTGTGAGATCAAAAAAAATTTTTTTCAGGTTTTGACTACATTGCCGATTCATTACCATCACCTTACTGATACGTCAGTGCCTCAGTTCTGCTGCGGATATCGTTACACATTCTATTACGCATGGAATATCTGAGCATAACCTTCTCCATAACTCGCTGAGACCGTCAATATTAAAGAACTACGTCTCAGTTAATTGTAATCACTGAGAACACAAACCTGTCTTACAATTTTAAGGAAAGAAAGAAGCTGTAATGTCCCGAACCCTTCTCTCCCAATTTAAAACCGTCGATTGACTTCTCCATCGAAGTAGGACCTACCTAGTCAGACAATATGTTTTAGGTAAAAACGTACTCGTCAACAACTTCGTGTGTGCGGGCAACTATTACCAGCGTAGGTTTTACAACATGGACGTTGCACAATGCACATACATGGTCTTTATCTTGTTGATTTTAAGAGATATTAGATGGAAAACACTATTGAGGACTGGAGGATAATCCTCCAGCGATTCGGCCATAATCACCATGTCGTAATAACGATCTTTCTTTTCTTTTTTTTTCTTAAAAGTTACCTCCACACTAGGATTTTCTCCTGTATCGTAAGGGCAGTTTACAAATATAAATTTCACAAGGACAAACATCCAGACCCGGAACAATTACATGTAGGCCATACAAATACTTGTTCCGTGCGGGATTCGAACCCGCGGCCCTTAGCGCTGTAACTATAGCTAAGCCACGGAGCTGTCGAGAATGACGTTAAGGCGTTTCCCCTAGTGAACGACCTTGAGCGGTTCACGCGCTCCCGCTACAATACATCGCGTAAAAATACGCCCGAATTTTTGGAATTATTTCAATTAAAAAGAAAAGCGAACTGAAGAAATTAAATAAAACGTGAATAATATAGATTTTTAAATTATCTATCCATTAGTGTAATCCTCAAATGATTAGAGCGTTGCCTTTGTCAACAGATGTATGCAATCAAAAAAATTTTGTCATTTTTTAAAAGTACATTTTAAATGTATTATTTATAACACATAAAAACAAATTAGAATGTGGAATGTGATGATAGGATATCGAACATTAATAATGTGCTAACTAATGAAAAAGTCTCTGAAAAACGCACTTTTGCAAGGTTTTGGTCAGGGTACCGCCTTAAGTATGATCAAGTATGACGTCTAAAAATATTATTATAATAATTTCCACATACTAAATAGCTTTTAAAGTCGTTGCTAAAACATAGCATATTAAAGAATCAAAGCCTCGACTTCAGAACTTTACTGTATTCTTTTTACTTTTTTACATACTTTTTTAGTTTATATTTTATAATTTATAAAAATGTTAAGTGACATTAAAAAAATAAATACATAAATATCCCAATGATGCCATGAAGCGAAACCGGTTAGTTTTTATAGTCAATAAATTAATAACTTAAAATAATATTAGTAGACGTGCTTAACCAAATTACAACAAAATCATATTTTTGTCCTTTTGAGTGAATTAAGAAATATCACACGGTTAAAGTAACAACGAGAATGTCGTGTAAATAGTTACATTAAAATGTTCATCCCGTATTTTTCTACCCTCAGGAATAAAATTTTAACTTAATAAATTTATATGGGATTATTTCCATCCATCCATTACAGCATATAAAAGTCCTCTGCCATAGTCCTCGCACTTAGATTGCCTGATAGGGGGGATTTTGCAATAGTTGCCAACCTTGGCAGGCGGCTTGGCGACCGCAGTTTTTTAGGAAGATGCTGCTGCGGCTCATCTTATGTTTTAGTTTCCCTTTGTCGCCTCTTACGACACTCACGGGACGCTATGGGGTAGTGGATATTCTTTTTCACCGTCACTACACGTAATTCACCTATTTAATAAAAGAAAAATCATTAAAAACGGTCCATCTCCTTTTTTGAAGTCGCTTAAAATTCGTGATATACAGCTTGATTGCCATTAATTATGGTCATATTATAACGATACCTAAAACAAGTTAGTAGGTGACGGTACCAATTTTATGCGAGTCCGTGACATCACGCATTCATTGTTACACCTGCTTAGTTATATCGATCATAAACAGCTGTCGCATTTTTTGATACATATTTTATTACGAGTTGATGTTCTTCTTTTAAAACAATGTTATAACATAGTTATATTATGGTCTGATAAGTTTTTTAATCAAACCTTATAGACTTCTCTTCGTGCGATTTGATAAACACGCGGGATTACAACGTGTGTACATATTTTGTTTTTATTCCGAATAAAGAACTATCAGATGTACATCTAGACAAGCCAAGCACGGAAAAAGAAAATGGCGATCAGCAGTGCTTATTTTGACTTTTACCAGACTTCCAAATTTTATTAAATATTTTCTATATTTCTAGAACGTTGTTTTTTTATTGGTCCTATGAATTTAGCAACTGTTATGCTTGTCGTTCGTTCAGATTTCAACCCTTTTGTCGTTTCGTTTATACCCAACTTGGCCCCACTTTTTTTGATTTTAGTGGGTTTTTAATTTCATTGTAATAATCATTAGCTTGTAATGCGGTAGGTACTTTGCTGAACGGTATTTTAATTTCATTGTAATACTCATTAGCTGGTAATGCAGTAGGTACCTTGCTGAACGGTATTTTAATTTCATTGTAATAATCATTAGCTCCTAATGCAGTAGGTACCTTGCTGAACCGTATTTTAATTTCATTGTAATAATCATTAGCTTGTAATGCAGTAGGTAGGTACTTTGCTGAACGGTATTTTAATTTCATGGTATTAATCATTAGCTTGTAATGCGGTAGGTACTTTGCAGAATGGTATTTTAATTTCATTGTAACAATCATTAGCTTGTAATGCGGTAGGTACTTTGCTGAACGGTATTTTTATTTCATTGTAATAATCATTAGCTCGTAATGCAGTAGGTACCTTGCTGAACGGTATTTTAATTTCATTGTAATAATCATTAGCTTGTAATGCAATAGGTACTTTGCTGAACGTTATTTTAATTTCATGTTATTAATCATTAGCTTGTAATGCGGTAGGTACTTTGCTGAACGGTATTTTAATTTCATTGTAACAATCATTAGCTTGTAATGCGGTAAGTACTTTGCTAAACGGTATTTTAATTTCATTGTAATAATCATTAGCTTGTAATGCAGTAGGTACCTTGCTAAACGATATTTTAAGATACCTTAGAAAATAAAAATAAACTGTATAAAATTCGGTGACCTGAGATCTTCCATATCTGATACTTAATATTTAGTTACCAAAATCGTGACGAATATAACATAACATAAACACTCACGCCTGTCACCCAGACGGGTCGGCGGAAACTACAGACTTCCATTTGGCACGATCCTGACACACCGCTCTCGCCTCTTCCACATTCATATGCGTTAAGGATACTCGTAATTTGGCCCATTTTCAATATATCGCCTATTTGGTCGATAAACTTTCGCCTAGGACGTCCCTTTCCGAGTTTGCCATTCATTTCTGCACCTTAAATTTGCCTTGTCACTCTTTCCTTATTCATTCTTTCTGCATGACTAAACCACCGAAGCATTCCTTTCTTAATCCTGGTTACAACATCATCTTGCAAACCACACTCTTCTCTTATCACACAATTTCCCACCTATCACTCAGATTCAGCCCTGACATACTCCTTAATGACCGCGTTTCTACTGCGTTTATTCTACTCTCGTGTTTCTTCTGCCACACCCAACTTTCACTACTATACGTTAAAGTAGAGATTAACACATCATTGTGAATTGCCGTACGTGCCTTTTTTTGACATATTCTGGTTTTCCACAATAGAGTGTAGAGCCCCATTTACTCTAATGCCTGCGTTCACTCGTCGTTCTATATCCTTATCATATCTCCCATCCCATAATGTGTTCTAAATTGAAACTGTCATTGTGATTTGTGATTGATGTAAGTTTTGCTATTAAAAACTATTTCGTGTTAGTTGTGTTCGAAATAAATCTTTATAACATGATTTATTTCGAAACTACCGCGTCGCGTGCTGGCTTCGCCTAGGTGGGATCTATTATAGTGGCGTTAGATATAAGGTAATTAATTCATCAATCAATGACTGCCCCGTTGGCCTAGTGGTTGTAGTGGTGCGACTGCTGATCATGAGGTCCTGGGTTCCAATCCCGGGTGAGGCCAAAAAATTAATTATGGAACGTCAAGAAATTCTCAGTAGTTGCCCGGGTCAGGAAGTTGACGGTGTCTCACCCCCGTGCCTCGGAAAGCATGTAAAGACGTTGGTCCTGCGCATGATCTCTTGCCGGTCGTGTTGGTTTACCGTCCCATCTGATTATTAGAGTGAGGGAATAGAGAGTGCACCTGTGCTTGCGCATACACTTAGGCACTATCCTGTCCTGCGCCGATGGCTAGCCTCCGTTGAGGCAGGCCGCCGTGGCCGGAATTCGTTCTCGAGGACATTATTATTATTATTAATTAATTCATCAAAAACCATTTATTTTATAAATTGTTTTTAATTTATGAAAACAATCTCCAAGCTTTTCTGATAAAATATGGAGCCTAGATCTATAGATATATAGAATCTAGATCACTGTGGCAACGCTCTCCACCCATTCGTAAAGTTTCATTACAATCGATTGAACCATTTCAAAAACAAGCCCCGACAGACAGAGAGACAAAAATTTTGAAAATAGCGTGCAAGTAATCCACACAGCTCAATAAAATGCAGTAATTTCGATATTACAAACAGGAACTTCAAATTTATTTATGTGTCAGCCATTTGGCTGGAAGTCAGCAGTTTTCATCCAGGTCAACGATGCCTCACGTTTCATATGATGTGGGTAATTCAATACATCATTGAACGTATTTAACGTAATAATCGTTCTCCGATTTCCTTGAATTTTGTAAACAAAGGATTTATTTCTCAATCGTTGATATGATACAAGAGAATATAAGTCAACAACCCTTTTTTATTTGAAAATTTGCACGTATGTGTACGTGATAAGATGTGATGTAAATATTACTGGCGATCTCATAGTTATAGGGAACATCTGACTGCGGGTCCCTAGTTTCATACTTGTACAGAAAAACTAACTATTGGCTCCTTTTCTACCAAAAGGATTTATATCTCTATCCTTCTGGATAGGTGACCAGAAGGACTCCTAAATGATACGTACCATCCTCTTATCTTTTTCTACTGTCAAATATCAGTGCTTAAACTGGTGTTTGAGCCAACCCATTCGTGCTACACAATGTAGTCGGAGCATATAATATATATATATATATATATATATATATATATATATATATATATACATATATATATACAATATATATATATATATATATATATATATATATATATATATAATATCATAAGTTCCTTCGGGTTCTCTCATCGTCCATACTTCAAAGTCTGTTATGCACGTACTTATGGTGCCGAAACGTGGACACTGACAATACGGCTACTCCAGAAGCGTTCAACGGGCAATGGATAGAGCTATGCTTATAGTTTCTCTGGTAGATAATTTGAAATGAAAAAACCTGCTGGACAACCAACATTACTGACATAGCCTTCCGTGTTTGTAAACTGGATTGGCAATGGGCTGGTCATGTCTGTCGCAGAAGTGACAACCGGTGGAGTAGACGTGTTATGGAGTGGAGACCGTGTCTGTAAAAACATAGTGTGGAGCAACGATCTGCGCAAGGTGGGGCTGGTAGAAACCGGATGCGTGTAGCCGAAGATCGCGTTAAGTGACGCGCCTTGGGAGAGGCTTATTTCCAGCAGTGGACTACCGCAGGTTGATGATGATGATGATGATGATGATGATGAGGATGGTGAGGATGATGAGGATGATATTATTATATCCACGCGAAACCGGGGCGAGTCGCTAGTTTAAAAAATATTTATGTAAATATTTAATCCAATTGATTTACCACGACAATGGTTCAGCGTATTTGTCTTACTCTAGTTTTTGATTAAAAAAGTGAAAGTAATACATTTGTATATATTTTGTGGGCACGAGAAATGCAGTTTCAAAGTAAAGTTTGATGCAGTACTACCTTGTGTTGCCTGTAATTATAATTCAAAAATGACAACAATTACTATTTATAATCACCACTAAATGACCGATCAACACGTTTTTCCATTCTTATGAAATAACAGATTTTTTCTGAACGTTGCCTTGATTTGTTATCATTATGGCGTAATAACGATAAATATTTCATTTCACAAGAGTAAAGTCATCGTGGGATATCCACAATCCACCTCTTACAAAATATTTTCTCCATTCGATCGATTCTGTTGAAGTGGCTGTTGTATAGTTTATGGAAGATTTAAAGTCCCGACTTGTGTGATAATTCTGGAGGCTGTGGGTATGCAGGTGAGATAATCATTCAGAAAATAAGATAACGTAATTTTCTTTGGACCACAAATCATGGGGTAATCGTGTAACACTGAAAATATATTTTCATCATCATCACAGTCCTTCACAAGTGCACTGCTGAACATAAACCTTCCCCAAGAAATGCCACAAAGCACGGTCTTGAGCCACCTGCGTCCATCGACTTCCCGCATGTCTTACTGGGTCGTCACTTAATGTAGTAGGTAGTGGGGACCCGCCCTATACTTTGCTTACGCGTAAGAAGCTGTCACTCGAAAACCTTTCTTCCCCATCGGTTGTCGTTTCTTCGAGCTTTATGGCCGGCCCACTGCCACTTCAGCTTACTAATCCGTCTTATCGTCTTATTCTCCTGAAACCCGTACCAGTATGTGTTTAAGTTTAAAATATCTGCCTCTAAAAATTGGTACAATAATTGACCTATGGACATATTGGTAGCTTTGTTCTACAATTGATATTGATGATGGTCATTGTTGCTGTGAACATACTAATGTTGAAGTGACAAGTCGAGCCAAAATTAACGCCCACTAGTATGCGTATCGAACAAAACACAGACAAAATTACGGAAAAAATACTTGCATCGTATGTACGAAAGATGCTTGAAATAAATACCTTTCGATATTACCATCATCCTATCATCCGAGCTGTGTTTCGTATGGTGGGTGTAGAGAATCGGCGACCCTTTTTACAGGAAACGAGGCATTCAATCTTAGTTATGGCAACGCATCTGCATTTTGATTCCTAATCGAGGATAAATGTCTATGGGCCACAGCATCCACTTAACATCAGGTGGACTGTGTGCTCGTTTGTAACCCTTATTCTATAAAAAAAAACACAGACTGCATGATTAAGGAATAAAAATATTTGGATAGGAGTGTATCGCAGATATCTCAAACAGGAGATGGGAATCAGCATCTTCTTTATTTACGTATTTATTCTTTATTGCATTCCTTAAAACAAAAGAACACAAAGGGCGGAATTAATAGTTACTTAATCTCTTAGCTCTTTATATATTTATTTTAATGTAGTTACAATATATTTATTTGGTGCTTTCTATCTTTGAATTACATGTTAAAGCTATTGAATATCAAATCACAGGTTTTACAACATGTTTAAATTTAATATATGATAAAAATTAAAAAAGAGGGTTCTTGCTAACAACTCAAAATTATAAAATACTGCGGTTGCCAAACCGATTGCCAAGTGTGACTACTATGGCAAATTCCTCTGTATGAGGCAATCTTTTTTTATAGGATAGGCTGACAAACGAGCATACAGTCCACTTGAAGGTAAGTGGTCGCTATGGTCCATAGACATCTATCCTCGATTACGAATCAAAACGCAGATGCGTTGTCACCTGTGAGGACTAAGATGGAATGCCTCGT